TAGAGAATGGTGTACATACAGTTATTTCAGGAAGGACTTATTGTAAATAAAGAAAAAGGATAGTACATATAAGATATGTATATGAAAATCACTTGTTCCTTTTTTTATTTTTTACTCTTAATGGCAACATATACCTATTGTTTATATGTATACGCGCATACGTATATATGAAAATCTCATAAATATAGATAATTATTATATTGTACAAACCTACAAAAAATCAAAGTTTTCTGTTGAAGATGGTGAAAAATTTTTGCATTTTTTTCATTTTCTAGAACAAAAAATATTAAAAATGTTTTATACCAACTATATTTGTGTTTTTGTAAGTTTCCAATATCAAAACAAATATTAATTGTGCAGTAAAATGTTATATGATGATTATATAAATATGTATACGTGTCCTATACAGGGTGATTCAGAAAGATATTTTTTTTCATCAATCAAAATTTATTAATTTCAGAAAATTTAACAAAGTAAGCTATGTATAAGAGATTAATGAAGAAAAACTAACTTAAAAACTAATTAATTTACATTTACATTTATTTTTTCTTTTTCTTCTATATTTCTTTTTCTTTATATACTTTTTTTCTTTTTCTACGTTATTACTTAATTTCTAAAATTTTTAAGAAATTTTTAAGTTTAATTCTGAGTTAAATTAAATTGTTACTATCTTTTATTTACCTGGGTAAAGAGTTATATAATTTAATTGCGCTGTACTTTAAGCTTTTTTGATTTTTTTAGTTTCTAAATTTTGGAATTTGGATTTTTTTTCAATACCTAGGGTAACAATTATATTTATATATTTCCATTGTTTCAAAGTTTAATTTCGTTTTAAAGTTATTATTTAAAATATTATATATGTATACTCGTATAATAAAATTTTTCAAAATATATTAATTGATTAATATCTATTTCATTAGTTTCTTTGAATAAAGTTTTCAAGGCTTTGTTCAATTAAATGAAATTTAGAACATTGATACCAGCTACATAAATTATATCTAATTCTAGATAAGATATGCCCATAATATATTAACTTAACTGCATGTGTGAGGCTTACCTACACATTCTTTTAATTTCTATTATTATTTCTATGTCTATATTAAATCTATTCTTTTAATGGCCATTATGATGGGTATAATTTTTCATTCTCTTGATATGCTTATCCCATTTAACTGCTCATCTATTATCATTCCTAGATATTTGATGTTATCCAATTTTTTTATTGGTACGATATTTACTTTTCCATATTCTTAGCTGGTTTAAATATTATAAAATATGTTTTATTTTAGACCTGTTTTTAATGATAATTCTTTACTTAAATACTAACTTCTATTTTTCAGCTAGTTTTTTACCAAATCATTACTAGTACTCATCATACCTAGTCTATCTAAAAAATCTAGTAGTTTAGAATGATTAATTACATCAAATGCAGTTTTAGGATGGCTGTAATTTGGCTGAACCTGTTCCACAATTTTCTAAGAAACCCTAATTGGTTCAGATCAAAACAAATTGTATTTTTAATAAAGTCTCTGATTCTTATATTTATTACTTTTTCAAAAAATTTTGAGAAAACATTAAGGACTGAAATTAATCTATAATTTACAAAATCAGTTTTCGAACCTTCATTGTATTGGTATAGTAAATGATTTTTTTTGACTGTCTAGATGGAGTATAGAATGTAGTATTTTGACTGTCTAGATGCGCAATGAAGTGCACTATTAATGATATTTGCCAGTGGTTGTTTTATTATAGTAATTCAAAATTGTACATATGTAACTGTAATTTTATCTTAGCCAGAGGGCGCATTTTTATTAAGATTTAAAATAATTTTTTGAGTTTCATTTTTAGTAACTGGGTCAAGAAATAATTTATTATTATTAAATTGTGGAAAATATTTATCGTAGCTTAAAATGTTATTTTGAATATTTTTAATTATCGATTCTCCAATTTCATTGAAAAACTTCTTTAAAGCGTTTATTGTGTCAATTTTAGTTTGTGTTTTTTCTCCTTTCTTATTAGTAACATTCAAAGTAAGTATGTTTAATTTTATCAGTGTTGGTGTTGATTGATATAACTGTTTCAGAGTTCACTACTAGCTTAAATCACTTACTAGCTTTTTTAATATTTTTACATTTTCTCCTTAAAGTACACAAATACTATGATATTATAAAAAAGATGCGAAAAAGTAAAAAACTTTTAATACGTAGTGCAAAACTTTTGCGAAAAAATATACCATAAATGCATAAATTTCGCATTTTTCAAACATTATCCGATAAATTTATGAAAAAAAAATTACTTAAGAAAGGTTTGACGGATTCATTATTCCACATATTCCAAGCTAACACTGAAGAATATTTTCTATAATAGTTGTTTTTTCAATTAGTTGCAAAGACAGTTGTTGCTCACTATTATAATAATTTTGTGGTTATTAATATCCTTTATTTAAAGGTTATAATATTGCTCATTAAAATAGCACACCATGCATGTTCTTACATGTCATTATGTGATGTAGATGAATTTTGCTATTTCAACATAAAGTTAAACTTTTGCATGAGATTCTTTTTGTTTCCTTTTTAACACTTTTCCAAAAAATTTTTGAAGAAAGTGCTTATTAGTTTCACTCTGTCCGTCCGTCCGTAGACATGTTTATAAAACTTCTACACCCTTGAAGATAGAAAGCTGAAATTTAATATGTACATAGATCTTTACTAGAAACTTATTTCCTTAATTTATTAAAAATGTCCTTTTTTAACTATTTGTTGCAATAAAACCATAAGCATTTTTGAAATTTTGCAAACGCAGAAAGGCAGTGGCTTGCTTCCCCTAGCGCGGTATACTATAGTTAAACTTAAAAAAAACAAAACGGCCGTTCAAATTTACCGTTATCTAAAGTCCTTTTTTTCCAAATTTTTGATTTCGTTTTTCTACTATACCCCCGGTTGTGGGAGTCTCAAATTTTACCAGCTTTAAGACATTAACAAATAACTCATTTCGTTTGAAGAAAATTTTTTTCCATCTCCACCCCCTCTCAACTTATCGCCTTTTGAAATTTGTAAAATTTTAATTTTTGACAAATTTTAATTTTTCGCATTTCCGAAACCGCAAGCTTTTTCAAATTTCTATAAACGCAAAAAGCTAACGGTAAATTCCATGACATTAAAAAATATAATTATTTTTCTTAACTAACGTAATTAACCCTTAAAATCGAGCATTACGTTAACTCCTCTTTATATTAATTTTTGCTCTATTTCAAAGACTGCATAAACCGTTCATCCTAAATATATGCAATCCTAGAAATAGTTTCGTATATGAATGAAAATAATTTTAATAGTGTGGTAGGTATACATAGATAGACATTTTCGCTTGCTGAAGGGAAAAGTGCTACAATACAAACCATTGGTTTGACCCAACTTTATTTTATTTTTGTTTTTAAGGGCACAGTTAGTTCTGTGCTCATTTAAATAGCACACTTCATTAAAGTAAGGTAATAGATTATTGCAAAATCATAGTTTTATGATTTCTCTTTTATTGTTAATTCTTGTTTTTTGTTTCGTAAATGAAGTATAACTCAAAATTTACGTTCTTTTTTAACATATTAAATTTTTTTTAAAGTGTGTTATTTTAATGAGTAAGACTATTTCTGCAAATTTTAAATAAAATAAAAAATTTTTAAAATTGTAATTTTGATGTCAATTTATTTCCATATTATTTGCATACATAATAATGTATGTATGTCTTTAAAAGTAACCGTATGCACATTGTAAAATTATTTTTGGTTTTATTTATTTTATTTAAATTTTTTTATTATTTTTTTATTATTTTTTTATTTTAAAATATATAATTAAAAAGAACTCGTGACTTAATCACGCATTGATATTGATTATCACAATTTTTACCACTTTTCCAAAAAATTTTTGAAAAAAAGTACTTATTAGTTTCACGCTATTTGTCCGTCCTTCCTTCCATCTGTTCGTCCGTGGACATGCTTACAAAACTTCTTCACCATTGAAGATAGAAAACTGCAATTTCCAAGATTTCCAAATATGTTCCAAGACCTTTGCTAGAAACTCATTTCCGTAGAAAAAAACCTTAAATATGACATATTTTAACTATTTATTGCAGTGAAGCCATAAGGATTTTTCAAATTTGCAAACGCAGAAATATAGTCGCTGGCCTCTTGTATCGCGGCATACTATAATTGAACTTAAAAAAAAAAACAAAATAGCCGTTAAAATTTACCGTTATCTAAAATCCGTTTTCCCAAATTGTTATGTCGTTTTTCTTCTAGATTCGGGGTTGTGAAAGTCTGAAGTTTTAACAGCTTAGAGTCATTTATTAGACGCTAATAAATGACTCATTTTGTTAGAAGAAAATTTTTCACACCTCCATATCAAGTTATCGTCCCTTGAAATTTGTAAAATTTGAATTTTTGGCACCTTATATTTCCGAAACCGCAAGCTTTTCCAAATTTCTATAAACGCAAAAAGCTAACAGTAAATTCCTTATTAAAAAATATAATTATTTTTCTTAAAGCAATTATAACCCTTAAAACCGAGCATTATGTTAACAAATCTTTAAATTTATTTTTTCTTTATTTCAAAAACTACAAAAAAAATTGTTCATCCCAAATAGATGCGATCCTAGAAATAGTTTCGAATATGAATGAAAGTAATTTTGTCACAGTAGTAGATATACATACATATTGTTTTTAAAAGCAGTGTTTTTACTTGTTCAAGGGAAAAGCGCTACGTTACAAACTATTGCTTTGACCACTTTATTATTTATTTTATATACAATATTTTTATTCAATTGAACAATTATTTAATTTATTATAAAAATGTATTACTGATCAATAAAATTGTACATAATATAAAAATGTAATGTAATATAAAATAAAATAAAATATATAAAAATAATATAAAAATAAAATGTGTAATACTTACATATACTTGTATCTAGTAAATAACACACAAATATAGTATAGGTACACACATACACGTATTATTAAACTATTTTTATTTGAAATAATCAAAACTTTGGAATAATTAAAAGATTTTCTTTATAGATAGGCGTACAAAAAAAAATGCAAATAAAAAAAATAAAAAAAGCCAAACAATATTTTCAAAACTGTAAACAATAACTTTGTACAAAGTCCAATGCACTTGGGGTCAGCTGATGGAAAAAATATGGTAAAGGGTATGAAAAGAAAACAATTCAATTTAATTTGAATTGAAATTTTAATCGTGAAAAAGTGTAATATAGAAAGTAAAAATTGAAATTATTTCTTTTTTCGTTTCTTTATATTCACATGTGACACTTATCAAAATGAATAAGTTAAGTTTTATAAATATCAATCTCCTTTTGTAACAGTATTTATAAATGCGCGTATACGTATGTATGTATGTCGTTATTTGAAGATTTGTGTCGCCATATTTATAGCTCTTTAAATTATAATTAATTTTGATTTTTTCGTGATTATTTGGCAATCTAGTGCACGGATCGGTAAAATCGGTCATAACATGTTGTTTTTGTTAGTACTTCTAGACAAATCAATACATTTTACATATGTATGTGTTTAGATACGAACACCAGTTAAACGCAAGCCTAACTCAATCGATAAAATTAAATGAAAAACAAAAAAATCTATGATATAGTTACAAAGTAGCCGACAGCAATCTCTATTAGTTTAGTGAAAGTGTTGTACAATATTATAAAAATGCATTTTAAATACTTCCTTCCAATATTAAAGACGTTAGTAAGTGTTGAATAACATAGCCGGAAAATTGTAAATTTGGCTGTTAGAAAGGTTTTCTTTTGTGCCATCCAAATTCTCTGAAAATTTTGCTACTTAGATTTGGTAACAACAAAACTCGAATGTTAAATTTGAACAAATTCCATCGATTGGTTCCTTAGACATAAAAAAATTAAAATCGGTCCCTAGTATGGTTGCCGAGCTCTGATATTCCAAAAAAAAGTTACATGTTCATTATTTTAACACCCTGAATTAAGTTTTAAATTTCAAGAAAGGTTGTTCAGTTCAACGTAATTCAATTGCTGACACCTGATATCTTCTAAAAGTTAAGTTGTTTCTTGTTATGTCAAACAAAACTTATATGTAAAATTTTAAAGTTGAATACTTTCTCAAAAATAATGAAAAATGTAAAGCTAGTCTATAAAAAAATCATCTCCTGGGGCCTGACATATTCCAAGTTGATCAATCCGTGACATAACCAAAATAAACCAACATATAAAATTTCGTCAAAATCGGTTCAGCCAAGCTTGAGATAGCCGCATACATACACAGACCGATAGACCGACGTTGGGTATCATTACATAGGTTATGTAACTTTAATGCGGTCGGGAAAAAGAAAACAAGCTTTGTTGATTCCTTTTTATCTCATTTTTGTACAGATGCGACATTGGATACTTCAGTCTTTTAACAGTTTTTCAAAAATATTTAAAAAAGAACGTATTAGTTTCATTCTGTTTCTCCGTTCTATTGTCCGAGTGCCTGTTTACAAAATTTCTACACCTTTAAAGATAGAAAAAGCTGAAATTTTATATTTATTAATTCTTTAGTAAAAACTTGTTTTCGTAGAAAATGTTACCTATTTCCTCTCCTCCAATAGTTATAGCCCCAGAAAGTCTTAATAATGTAATTTTTTTGCTATTTTTAGCTCTCTTAATGCTTAACCGTCCAATTCAACCATTATGTTAACGCTTCATCCAATTTTCTTTTTCAGTCATCCTAAATATATGCAGTAGTTTTATATATAATTTGGTGTATCAATGAATCTAATTTAAATAATGTAGTAGTTCTATATTTTCACTTGATAAAGGGAAATTATAATAAAATAAGTCCAATCATAAATTTGATTGGACTTATTTTATTATAAGATTTTCATTTTTAAAGTAATTAAAATTATTGGTTTTCCTAATGCTAATTTTATTACGTACTAGTTTTCATACTGTTACAATTCATTTTATTTTAGTTTACATTTATTTCTTGAAGGATTGTTTTCATATAATATGTCCCTTATTCTATATGCATTAAATCCAAAAAATTAAATTGACATAAGACATTTCAATGTTTGCACACTTCAATTTTGTGACCCTTTGCTTGAATCAAACTTTGAAATTATTTATTATTGAAATGTTATCACTATGAATAGTATAAAACGATATTGCTGCTTTTATCTATTTTTTACCATAAGCAAGCCTATATAATTTAGTAGTAATATTAACAAGTTTTTGAAAATAATTTGTTCAAATAGTTCTTACATGAAACTAATTGAACTTAACCGAAAAGACAAAGTGTTTAATTAATGAAAAAATCGCCATCTTATTTTGTATTCACTATACATCTTTTGAATTTAAAACTGTTTAGTAATAAAAGAGCACGCATCTTAATATTTGGCGGAGTTTTCCAATTACGTAAAAGTAGTAATTTATATAAAGCTCTAATCGGTGCTATGCTGCTCACATTTATTTTGTTTCGGATTTATTTCGGATATATGAAAACAATCAAATAATTCGCGTAAAATATATATATACATATATTGATATATAGTATGAATATAATATTGAAAATTGCCATAAGAAGAAATTTGATATGTACAGCACATACCCGGCCGCATTCTTCAAGTGTTGCATTAGGTCGTGAAAATTTTCTTTCAACATTTATTTTAAACTCAATAAAAGATTGAAAGTGGTCTTTTGTTGTAGTGTTCCTAGAAAAATGTAAATTTGGTTCCTAAAAAGGTTCATTTCCCGTGATTCGATTTCCTCTAGTTTCCCAGTTAATTTCTTAATAACAAAAACTAAAATACATAACAAATTTCAAGAAATTTCGTCAATTTCTTCCTGAGATATGATCAAATATATAAAATCGGCTCTTGGTGAGAGTTCGGTTTCCGAGTCGTGATATTCCCGATGAATTTAATGATTCATTGTTTGAACACCGTGACTAAAATTTTAAGTGAATCGGTTGGTTACATCTTTTTTATGCGCAAAAATGTAAATTCGACCCGTAGTAAAAACATTTGATTTCCTCAAAAAGTTAGGTAAAGAAAACTCGACATTGCAAACGCGAAATTTGCACCACATCATCTCCCTTATTGAATGCAATGCAGTCGGTCATTACAAAAACATTAACAATGAATAGTGAATCATATTTTATAATTGAATGAAAAATACACGAATACATCTCGGAATTGGGCGTGCGGGGATATTGACCTAGTGGGTGGTGCGTCTGCCGCTAAAGAAGTTCCTTAGCTCATAGGGAAGACGAAGTGCATTGGCCAGAGCGATATGGCTTAGTAGGGATGAGAAGAGTACGAAAGCATTACCTTTATAAAATGTTATCGTATTTTTTAAATAATTCTTTAGATTTTTATACTCTTTGAGATTTATATAAATATGAGTATATTGAAGTTTAGTTTACCCTAAAAATCAATTAATTAATGAATTAGAGTTGTATATTTTAATACTTTTTTGTTTTAAAATTTGCTTTTTCGATAGCAAAAGAATGATTTTAACTATTTCATTGTACTATATTTGTATTTTTAATTCTTGAATTTCATTCTTAACTGGCATGTGCAATATACTGAAATAAATAAAATTAAATATAGTAGGGCTGATAGTAGTTAAATATAGTAGGGATACTGATGGGGGTGTTGACGAGGCATTGCTTAATAGGGAAAATGACTAAGAGGCTCAGAAACGCTGCGACGGATGTTTGCCGGGAATGTCAGGACATTGCGGAGGCGGAAGATACTCGTATTTAACATGTTCTTTATACCTGTCCGCCTCTGATGTGGAAGAGAAAGCGCATTCTGAGTCTATGATGTCCTAGGGAACCTATCGGCAAGTCCTTAGTGCGGCTTTTGAGATTCGCGAAGGGAGTTAATTGGTTCCAGTAGATGATTTTTGGGATTGTATTATCTGCGAGTTGTGGTGTGTTAATTTGAGGGTTGTCGATGAATCTTCTTGTTGAACAAGTGCATGGGCTTCGTGTGGGTAGCCAGGCAGGGCGCTTTTCTCTTACTACTACTTCTTCTATTAATATATGATGTTTTATTCTAATAACACTTACCAGAATACTTCAAATAAAATAACGTATATAAACACAAATACATAATGAATGCAGATAAGCATTCATATATAAACAAAAATATATAATGATTGCAGACAAGCATTCGTTATGTTTTAGTGTTCATATACATAATAAAACTAGATAAAATACATACAATAACAAAGTTCATTAGTACAACAAATATTTATATGAGTACATAATATTATTTAAATTCATATACACATACATTCGATATAAGTAACAATACTAATTCAGAAATTCTAATTTAATTTTTAAATTATCTTTGTTATTCACATTACTATCAGTGTCCATTGCTTTTTTCCCATATGCCGATGTATAAGTTCGCCATAAATGATTAATTTTGCAGTAATAAATAGCTTTAAGGAATAAAGAAAAACTTTTGTCCATGTTAATGAATTGCAATTAATATTTTGTCTAACATTTAAGATTGTTATATAAAACGCTTTTAAGTTATTTTCAACTCCTATTTGTATATGGTCCCAAAGTAGTTTTAGTTTATAATAAATTTAGAGAACATCAAATTAATTAAAAATATTCGAATTGAAATAAGTATAAGAATTGAAACTTTCAAATTAATTTTAAAAGAAAACAACCCTGTTTTAATAAAAATTAATTTATTGCGGAATTTAATTCATACTGTAACATATTCTTTATTATATAATAGCCTAAACGGGTCTTATGGGTAAAAAAAGAGTAATATATAGTTTCTCCTAACCAATAGTCAACTTCAGCCTTCTCGAAGCAAGACCCGTTTAAAACGGATAAGGCAATGTTGGCCGAACATTGGCAGGATAACCATAATCAACAACGCACTGGCCTAAATATCCAGATGCATTATCACGGTCCTCCAAAGATGGGGGTTGAGCATTGGGCTAACAACCCAATCTCGTGAAAATTTGAATGTAATGAATTGACAACCAAAGCCCTCGAATAAATGATGGATTTTAAAGGCACCGATCAATATATTCGATGGAGAACAATGATTATGGAATTGCCACATGGAACATTAGAACAATGCTTCAGGCTGAAAAAATGGCAAAAATTGCAAATACAAAATGAGATTATATGGCCTTGCAAGAAATAAGATTCGGTTAACAAGGAGAATACGTAAAAAACATTTTACAATATACAATGGTTCTAATAAGTCTGAAATATCTAAGTATATTTTTGTTATCCATATACGGACCAAATTAAGATGTTGATGAAAACGAAAAAGACGAATTTTAAGATGAATTGTCAAGACAGTGTAGTAAGATAAGTAATTACGACATACTAATTATATTGGGGACTATAACGCTAAAATCAGAAAAAAAGAAGAATATATTGGTGAAATTAAAAAAGAAGCTAGAAGATGATATTTGAAAAGGCCAACGAGACAAAATCATATATTTACCAGCAAGAGCGAAAGTAAGCAAAAAAAGCAATAAGAAAGAAAAAGAAAATTCATATGTGGCGAAAAATTGAGGAAATTAAAGAATGTACAGAACATGTATCAGAAAGCAAAAGGGCGAGTTAAGAAATATCAACTTAGAATAAGCGTGTGTAAAGATAAAAATTCTGATTTTATTAAAGAAAGAGACAAAATTTTGGACAGGTGGAAAGAATATTTCAATGAGCTTCTTAATAAAAAAACATAACCAGATAACCGTTCGGGCAATATATTATACAGCGGACAACAGAGTCGAACTACCAAGCTTTGAGGAGATTGATTAAGCCTTGAGTAAATTAAAAAACAATAAAAGCAGTGGGGAAGAACTAATTATTGCCAAGCTCTTAAAATATGGTGGCGATGAATTGGCGAATAGAATGGTATTTGCAGCAAAAATAGTTGATGAATATCAATGTGGATTTCGTAAAAATCGCTTCACAATGGATTTGTGTTTCACAATGAGCCAAATTTTTGAAAACTTTATGAATACTAAATCGATATCCACTGTTTATTTATAAACATTCAGTATGTAATAAACATTAAACAGTAATAAACGTTAAACTTACAAATAGAGACCCAAAGGTATTGATACAAGGTGAACTGTCCGAACTGTTTACAATTAAGTCAGTTAAAACAAAGGGATGGCCTATCGTCAATGATTTTTAATATTATTTTACTTCTTGTACTAAAAGAAATTGACCCTGGTGGATCAATATTTAATAAAAGCGCCCAAATCTGTGCCCATGCTGATGACACTGTAATAATCATCAAAAATGTAAAAACACCAAGAAACATATTCCTTAATTTAGAAAAACAGACAGAGTAAGTAGGGTTAAAAATAAGTAAAGCAAAATACGTGTTACGTCAACATCGGCAACAATATAAATCGAATAAAATATAACAACGACATTGAGAGCTTAATAGGGAAAGAAATTTTTATTAGATTTGTAAAAGCCGAAAGAATCAGTTGGCTGGGACATGTGATTCACCACATTATGCCACAAGAAAGAATGGTAAAGAGAGTATTTAATCTCTCATGATCACAGAAAACATGGGCGCCCAAGTAAAACGTGGTTAGAAGACGTTGAGTTAGACCTCAGTACTATGGACATAAGAAATTATAATGGTCTAGCTAAAGAAAAAGATCGTTGAAAGGACGAAGCAATGGTTCATCAAGAGCTGTAATGTTAAGAAAAAGAAGAAT